TTCCAGCATGCTGGAAAGCGTCATCTGTTATCCCTATTTTCAAAAAATTTGGAGAGCAATCTGACTCATCTAACTACCGTCCCGTTAGTCTCAATCATTCTATCATAAGCAAGGTTTTGATTCTTTAGTTAACAAGCATATCTCTCATCTTGTGTATATTAATGATAACATTACCTCTAAAAGATTAAATGGCGTTGTCATACCCACTAACGTTCAAATTTTACCTTTTAAAATTAAACTAAGAATGCAGAAATCGCTAATTATAGCTATTTATAAGTCTCCTAATCAGAAAAATGACTATTTCTTCGTCAACCTTAGAGGGGTTCTTGATTTTTATTTGCAATTATATAATGATTATATAGTTATTGAAGATTTCAATTTATAAACTCATGATAAAATAATGAACGAGCTTCTCTGCCTTTATCAATGTAGTAATTTAATTGAAGCACCAACTTGTTTTTTATCGGTAGTAAAACCCACGTGTATAGATCTCATCCTAATAAATAGAATGACGTGTTTCCAACACTTTAAGACTATCTGTACGGGTTTTAGTAACCATCACGATCTTATTTTTACAATGCTCAGGACTGCCTTCTGCAAGTTACCTCCAAAAAAATTAATTTACAGGTCTTTTAAAAACCTATCAAGTGTTATATTTTCTGAAAAAATAAAAAATAAATTGATTTTTTGTAATGATATTAATGAGTTTAAGAAATCTATATGCTTCAATGAAAACTAAAATCTTAAGAGGTAACAATAAGCCATTTATGACTAAGGATTTTAGAAAAGCAATTATGCTTTGCTCAAAATTAAAAAAAAAATTCCATATTGAAAAATCAGACATTTCTTTATCTCTTTATAGGAAACAAAGAAACTACGTAGTAAGCTAGAATAAAAAAGCAAAGAAAATATTTTAGTGAGATAATTTTATTCAAATCTTCCACTACATTTCTATGGAAGATATGCAAGCCTTTTCTCATAACGCAAGCCTTTTCTCGATCGCATAACGTTGATTGAACATGGGGAGACTATTTCGGATAACTTTCAAATTTCAAACATTTTCAATTTATATTTCACTAACGTTGCATTGTCTCCTATAATAGTGAAATGAGTTATCGTTCTTCTCCTTGCAATGTTCATGTGTCTGTTAAATCTGCTATTATAAGATATGCAAACCATCCCAGTATTATAAACATTAAAAACAAATCCAAATTATATCCTCAAAATTTTAAATTTCATCAAACTACTACTGATGATATAACAAAAATTATTTTTTCTTTAAATAGTAAAAAGAAGACTAGTGGAGATATTCCAACGTTTATGTCAAAAACTTATGTCATGGATTTGAGAGAAAACCTCACTTCTTGTATAAATAACTGCATATTCCAAGGCGAATTCCCATCCTTATTAAAAATGGCCGATGTCATACCATGTTTTTAAAAAAAATGACCCTACTGATAAGTGTAACTTCCGCTCAATAAGTATTCTGCCAGTTCTCTCAAAAGTGTTTGAAATTGTTATTTACAAGCAAATACGGGTTTTTATAGAACCAACCTTTAACAAATTGCTGTGTGGATTTCGGAGAGGGTATAATGCAAAGCACGCACTTTTTTTAAATTTAATTAATAGGTGGCAAGAACACTTGGATAAAGGAGGTATTGTTGGCGCTATGCTTATGGATTTATCAAAAGCATATGATTCAATTCCACATGATTTGGTTTTAGCTAAGTTAAAAGGTTATAGGTTTTCTTACATTAGCCTCAAACTCTTATTATCTTACATTTCTGCTCGCGAACAGTGGGTAAGACTAGATCGTCATTTTCTGAATATTTAGATATGGAATCTGGTGTACCTCAAGGCTCAATTTTGGGACCAATTTTCTTTAATATTTTTATAAACGATTTTTTCTTATTTATAAAAGACTCTGAAATCTACAACTATGCTGATGACAACACTCTCTCTGTTTGTGACAACAACCTCGATAGTATTATTGCTCGTTTTCAAATAGAAATATCAAATGCGATTTCATGGTTTACTTTAAACAAAATGGTTGCAAATCCGGACTAATTTCCATTTTTTTTAGCGGCTTAAAAAACTGTAAAGATCAATTTTTAATGGTTGGAAATGTAAAACTCATGGTTTCCTCTAAGATTAAACTTCTCGGGGTTACAATTGATAAGGATTTGAAATTTGATGATCATATTAAAAGTCTGTGTGGAAAAGCGATTAGTAAATGCTTTGCTCTTTTACGAATAAGGAGCTTCTTATCAGTAAAACAAGCTACTGTTTTATTCAATGCTTTTATTCTGTCAATTTTTTCCTATAGTTTTTTGATTTGGATTTTAAAATGGCACGGAAAATCTTGTTTTTGTAAAATCTGTCAAAAATTACTTTTTTTATTTTTTATTTTTTACGTCGAAAATAACCAACTTATTGTATTTATTGACATTTATATTATTTACTATGTAAGCTATTTTTATTTGATTTTATTTATTTTTTATTCACGATATGTATGTTTGTTTGTATTGTCTTATACAGTTTAGTATGTTGATTTTAATTAGTTTTTGTTGATTATAAAACTATTGTAAACAATCAATTGAAAATAAAGTTTTGAATAAAATTAATAAATAAATCTAATAACTTATTTTCTGATTATCAAAATGTTATAATACGCGGTAGTGATGCAGTGGTAGAGCGCTCGCTTCATAAGCAAGAGGTTCCGAGTTCTATTCCTACCACGTTTCTGGTAGTACCGCGCTCAACTTGTTTCTCCGCACAGCAGCTATGTTCGTCAAAGTTCGTGTTTCGGAGTTAAGAGAGGGTTATAACCACAATTAAGTAGCCTCCACGTCTGTTCTCGGCCTTGGGAAGTTCCTAGAATGATGCCCTTTCTCTCTTAGAAAAGGTGCAAAAAACTATTGTAAACATAGTTGGACCTGCGCTTGCAGCCAACCTTCAACCATTGTCACATCATTGTAATATTGTCTCTCTTTCTCTTTTCTATTAATACTATATTGGGCGCTGCTTTAAAGAGCTAGCGTCTTTTGTGCCATCTACTAAAGTTCATTATCGTATTAATCGTCATTCAATTAAGTCTCATCCTTTTATTGTGACTTAGGAACCTAAGTACTCCAAAATTTCTTATTCGTCTAGTTTTTTTCCTCGAACATTAGTACTTTGGCACTTGCCTCAGAAACAAATAATCCGTGGTTCAAACCCCATCCCTGTGCAATTTTTGCAACATCGGTCAGGCAGGAGGCGTGAACTTCCTATTAAATGCTCATCCGCGGTACTCTGTGATAAGACCGCAAGGACTTCTAGTAGCACCCGAATAAAATTAAAAAAAAAAAAAAAAAATACTAGACTAAGGACGGGCGAATATTCGTTAAAATTCTAAACTCGAAGTCAACTGTAAGGGGAAGTTGACTTTGGCTTTGACTTTGGAATAGAAATTTGACTTTCAGTTAAATTCAGTAACAACTGCAAAATTTCATTTAACTTTCAGTTAAATTCGAATAATAAAATATTTTACATTTTTTATGTATGAACCTGTTTCTCTGTGCAACCTTCTTGTAAGACAAGGTTCGTGTTTTGCTTTTAAAGATTCGAGAGAGGTTTATGACTGCTATAAAATTAAAAAAAAAAAAGTCTCTCAGATTGAAGTCGCTTCCTTGGTCTAGTGAATTTGAATTCAATAAAGAAAAAGATCATTAAAATAGATTTATTATTCAAGACAAACTCCTTAAAAAAAAGCTTGACAGATATAAAAAGACCGAAACAGTTACCTTAATTGAACATAATCTAGGCTCATATGTTGAGAAAATTGACTCACCCTTAGTTTTAGAGAGAGCACTTACTCTCTATAATTTCACTATTATATACTTTATATTCTGAAAAGATTGAATTCTATTTATACTAAACTCTGGCTATTCTAACTCAGGATGGTCTTAGTTCCAAACTGAAATTCTAAAATACTTCTGACATTCAAGCAGTACTGGAAAAATAGCTTTATCTCCATTGGTAGCAAAGGAAACTAATGTTTTACTGTGGTGGATGAGCATAGCACCACAATATCCAAAGCTGGCTTCTATTGTCAGGAAAATGTATCCTATTCAAGGCTCATCAGCTTTTTCAGAAAGAGTCTTTTTTGCAACTGACGAAGTTGTCATTTGGACTCAAATAACTACAATGTAGAAAAGCATATCTACATTACACAGAACTATCCTGAAGTGAAAAAAATTATAATGAGAAGGAAAATTTTCAGGCTATACTTTGTAATATTTCTATAATTTGTTAGAAATCAATGTACTTGCATCCTTTAAATATTATTAAATGCATTTTTATTTGGCTAATGCATGAGAAGTTAGTTAAATTTGAAATAAAATTTAGAATTCTTCCTTCAATTAAATGTGTTTTTAAAATCCAAATTTGGCTTTCAGTTAAATTCAAATTAAAGTCCAAATTTGACTTTATGTTAAATTCGGTGTACACATACGATCTAAATTCGTCTTTCAGTTAAATTTGGGTCATGAAAATTTCTTCGCCGGTCCTTTTACTGGACTTAAGTGTTTTTACAAAAACCTTTTTTTTCTTGGATCCGATAAAATTTTTTTAGATGTTATTTTATGTAAGTCACATCAGTACGGTTCCAGAAAGGTATGACAAGATCCTGGGATTTTTTTGGCTTCAATCTACTTTTTCTCGGGTGTGCCGATTTTTAAGTTAAAATAAACGATAAGAAAAACACATGTGAGCAACGAGCGGGATTTCATCAAAAAAAATATCGTCAAAAAATATAACTAAAAAATAGTCTCTTAAAAAATTCATTAAAATAAACAAAAAGGACAAACAAATAAAAATTAATAAACTACCTTAAGTCTCTTAAAAAATAAACGAAAAAAATAAAGAAAAAGGACTAACAAATAAAAATTAAAAAATAAACGAATTTATTATAAATAACTATGAAACGATAATTAAAAATTAATTTATTATAAATAATCATGAAACGGTTATTAAAAATTAACTCATAAATAGGAAACGATTTAAATATATTATTTTTTCTTAAATAAAATCGTCAAATAACAAACCAAAAATAGTTATGTCAAGTATATATATATATATATTAAAATGATTGATATATAAGTGATAAAATAAATAATTAAACGAGAATTTTTTAAAACTTCTTGAACTTTTTAAAAGCATTAAAATGATTACGCTGATAGGAAATACGGGTCAAATATATCTAAATAAAAGAGAAAAAATTATTTAACTTTCTCTCTATATATTATTTCACATCTCTCTTTTTTTATAAATATATAGGTGTGTATATATATATATATATATATATATATATATATATATATATATATATATATATATATATATATATATATATATATATATATATATATATATATATATACTAGGTTGGTTGAAAAGTTCGCGGAGCGGAATTGAAAAATCAATTTTATGATTCAAAAAATGACTTTATTCTTCAGTATATTCTCCCTTAAGAGCAATACACTTTTTCCAACGATTCTCCAATTCATGTATCCCATCTCTGAAGTGCGATTCCGGAAGGCCTTCAAAATACCCATTTACGGCTGCAATGACTTCTTCATGTGATGAGAAACGCTTTCCACGCAGAAATTTTTTGAGATGTGGAAAGAGGTGGAAGTCGGACGGAGCCAGATCTGGTGAATAGGGTGGATGTTCCAAGCGTTCGTACTTTAATTCGACCAATTTCGCCTTTGCAACATCGCTGATATGAGCAGGTGCGTTGTCCTGGTGATAAATGATTTTTTTATGCAGCAAACCAGGTCTTTTCTCACGAATTTTTTTATCCAACTGGTCCAAAAGATTTTTATAATATTCACCTGTTATCGTTTTACCGGTTTGAAGGTAATCTATTAATAAAATTCCTTTCGCATCCCAAAAAACTGATGCCATAACCTTCTTTGACGATTTTGACGCCTTCACTTGCTTCGGAGCTGAACAACCGGGTTCTGTCCACTCTGCAGTTTGTTGTCGCAGCTTCGGATCATAGTGGTAAACCCAAGTCTCATCCATGGTTACGAATCGACGCACAAAATCTGTTTTATTCTTTTGAAAACGGGCCAAATGTTCTTGAGAAAGTTTTACTCGAGTGCGTTTCTGATCCAGAGTTAGCGAATGCGGCACCCATCTTGCCAACAGCTTTCTCAGACGTAATTCATCGTGCAAGATGTGTAATACCCGTTCATCTGAGATGCCCACAGCCTCAGCAATTTCACGTTTGGTCAATCGTCTATCATCCATAACCATGTCATGCACAGCATTAATCGTTTCTTCAGTAGTAGCACTTTTTGGACGTCCAGAGCGAGGGTCATCTTCAAGGCTTGAACGCCCACGTTGAAACTCCGCAGCCCATTTGCATACTGTTGCTTTTGAAGGAGCATCATCACCCAACACATTTACCATTTCATTATGAATTTCCATGGGCTTTAAACCTTTTTTCACAAAGAATTTTATTACAGCACGATGTTCAATATTTTCCATTTTAAAAAATACTATGACACGTCTAATTTCAATAGCTTGTAAACAAAGACTGAAATGACATATCGACTTGAAATTTTTTATGCGTTCATACGAAGAATGAATACGTTTAATACAGTTATAAATTTGTTTCTACTACTGCAACATAGGTGCCGCTCCGCGAACTTTTCAACCAACCTAGTATATACACACACACATACACACACACACACACACACACACACACACACACACACACACACACACACACACACACACACATATATATATATGTATACTCTTTTTATATACAGTAAACCTGCTGGTATTTTTTTAAATTTTTCAGGGCATTTGACACAGCAACCACTATAGAGTGGACACAGAAAAAACCGGTCAACTTTAATTTGAAATTTTTTTAAAATCATAAATGCTTTTTATTTCAATTTTTTTATATTAAATGTGTTTACATTAGTTTGGGTTTTAACTAAATTTTAAGGAGTTCGATGGGCTGTTTGCCAAGGAATCGAATTTTATAGCGGGTTGATGCCATCATTTTGCAGATTTTTTCTTTTTTCACTTTATTGGTGGCATTAATCTAATTTTTTAATCTAAGTCTTTTTTAATTTTTGTTACTCTACCTGTCTTACGAAGAATTCTAACTATTGGTCAAAGGTCTTCAAACTTTTGCTGATGATTTGGAAGATTCGCATCTTTAGCAATTTTCACATTATTATCTTTGCACCACGGTAGAACTTTTTTAGAAGAGTGAGAAGCAGCAAGATCTGGCCAAAAGAAACATCTGTATTTGTGTTTTTTTCATAAATGGCGTAAGTCTTTTTTGGAGGCATTCTTTGATCTAGAGATCGGCAGTAAAAGTCTTTTTAGTGATAAAACAAGAGGATTGCATACCACAGCTACAAATTGCTTGCCAAAAAAGAAACTTGGATGCAAATTTTTTCGTCGTATATATTTAAATAGATCATTGACAGGTTTATCTTTGTTTTTAATAGTAAAACTGTTAACTAGGAAGTTGTGAAAAACCTGCATTGCAATATGTTTCGTCCTCTTATTTTATGAACATACATTTATCCGCCAATACTCAAACCAGCTTTTTTGAACGTCGAATTCCTTTTAGTTCATCATTTAAGCTTCTCTAAGGTGTATTTTTCTTATGAAATGCTTTAATTCCAGCATTTTTAAGTACTTTTTTATATAAGAACACAAAGTCTTAAATTATCTTGATAAATCTCGCTGTGACTGGTTTGGATTTTTTTGCTATTAAACTAAGAATCAACTTTACCTTTTTGAATTTATGAAAAGTTTTCTTTTTTCCACTTCCAGGTTTTTTTTCTTTTGAAGCTTTGAGTAGTCTTAAACTTATTTATAATATCTATGACTATAGATTTTGGGACACTTGTGCGTTTAGCAATCAAGCGATATAAAGTTGATGAATTTTTGCAAAAAAAAAACTCGTTTTTACGCACCTCAATTTGTTTTTAAAACATATGGCAAATCATTTATTTGTAAACAAATGTTTATCAACACAATTAAATATAAGCAAGTAACGTTTAATAAAAAAAAAAAAAAAAAGAAATAAAAAGCTTTTGAGGTTTCAAAGAAATCTCAATTTAAAGTTGACCAGATTTTTCTGTGTCCACCCGATATTAAGTTAGAAGTAACAAAGTATAGAGTTAAAGAGCAAGGAAACGGTTGACAGAAGACTTGGAAAATTGTAGGTTGTTTGAGCCTGGACAACATGAAAAATGGGTAATTGGGAAATAAAAAATGGGGAATGGGAGAGAGTTAAGTAGGAAGAAAAAAACTTGATGAATAAAAAATTTTAGAGCATGCAGGAACAGAAACAGTAAAAGGATGTGACTTTAGTGAATGATGAGTCAAGCAAGAATGAGTTTGGGTTAATGTAACTAAATATGATAGCTCCTGTGAGCGACTATAATTAGTGTAAATAAGAAAGAGATTCAACTTTTTGATAATGGAAGAGAGGTTCAAGCTTGACAGATAAAGGTCTAACTACGCGTACAATGCTTTTTTGGACCTTGTTTAGAAGAGAAAGAGCATCATTAGAAGACCAGCACAAATATCTCAACAGAGATCACATTTAAGAGCATCATTAGAAGACAAATATCTCAACAGTATTCCATACAGAGACAAATAAAAGAGATTTGTAAAGATAGAGAATGGAATAGGAGTAAGATAATGGCGAGCACAATAAAGAGAAGCAACCTTAGCAAATGTTAACTTTGCATTTGATTGTATATATGGTTTCCATGAGAGGTCAGTATTGAACAAAAAGTAAAAATAATTGTATAATTATATTATATTTAAAGTTAATTATTTTTATTTACATTAAAGGATTAAATCAAATCAAATATATTTCTGAATAAAAGTTCTTACATCAAGGATATTTACAAATAGTAATGAGTACTAATATTAAGTAAGCACCTGTCAAATTCAATAATAATAAAAATAGTGATAATAACAATAAATATAACATAGATATCAATAATAGTAGTAATCATAAAAAGTTATATTATAATATAACAATAACAATATAACAACAACAATGACAGTAATAAAAATAATAATTATTATAACAACAATACACTAATAATAACAATTATAACTACTATAATGATAACAACAATATTAATATTAGTTATAATAGTTAAAAGTAGTTAATAATAGTAATATAAATATTTATAAAAATAGCAATATAGTCACATAGTTTTAACACTTTGGAAATTAGGTAGAGTACATTAGAATTAAAATTAATATTCATTTTTAAAGCCTTATGTTGGAGTTAGTATAACTTAATAAGAGCTTGTTGATGAGACTGCCCCCATACTTGGGATGCATATCTTAGATGTGAGCCGAAAATAGCATGGTATATGTTCAAGTGTGTTTCAAGATTAACATAATGGCAAATTTTAGCCAACATGCCATTTGATTATAGGTTCATTGTTAAGTCTTTACAGTGGGATAAAATGAAAAAATTTGAATTAATTTTTAAACCAAGATATTTAATTTTATTTTAGTTATATCATTTATAAAAATTATTAATGAATAAAAAATTATTAAAGAATAAAAAATAAAATTAATAATTATTATTAATAAAAATCAACTTTATGTTTTCATTATACCATGGTTGATATGGTAACATAAAAATCCGAAATAATTAAATCAATTCAAAATTTCCAACTTACAATTTATGCATTTATTTTGTTTTAAATTCATTCTGTCTTGCAATTTCTTTAAAGCTGCTTTTACAGTTGTGTACATAACCAATCTAGATTGAACACGTTTGTATTTTTGACGCAAATCATTTATTTTTTGAAGGTAAGTGTTGCAATCAATGACTTTTCTTAACAATAAACGGATATCTTTAATCTTTATAATTTCCATTTGCAAACTTTCAAGCTTGACCTGGATAGAGGCCTTAATGCTTGCCAATTCTTTGCATTCAGCTGCTAAAATTAAAGCAATGGAAAAATAAAACAATTAGTGGTTAATATAAATTGAGTAAATGTTGCCATAAAAATAAATGTTTTAGAAAAAAACAAACATACTGTTTATGTGAAAACCAAGCCACTTTCGAATTTCAAAAAACCATGTTTCATTTTCATCTTTAAAAGGAAGGTCAATTAAATCTTCCATATTTTTCCAGTTTTCACATTGCACCGATTTCAAAACTTTTATTTCTAAAAAAAACATTTTTTTATAACAATCTTTTAGATAAAAACCAATACCATTAGCATACTTTTATACAAATTTTTAAATTGTTGTCAAGTGTTTTTGAAATAAAAAATAAACGTGAAACTTGAATAAACTGAAAGAACAAGTATGAAAAATAAAAACATACTTATAATAATAAGTTTGAAAGTTTTTAATAAAAATTTGACAAATTCATACTGTTATCACAGTAATCAGAATTGCAAAATTCTTCTTTTGTTGCATTTCCTGGACAGGTTCCTGGACCATTAAGTATACAAAACCTAGAAAATATAATCTTTCCTCGTTTTTGATCAGTTTGACATGGCATACTGCATTTGGTGACTTGTTGCCAAGAGCTCCAAGCACTATCTTCTAAAGTGTAAAAAAATGCATTATAGCTTGGTATAAACAGTTAGGAAAAAAACTTAATAAACAACTATTAGTTAAAAAAAAGTTAATAAAAATAACAATTTTACCATAGCAAACTTTTGCAGAAGGATGAGTTTCATTTTTTCCACTAAAACCCGGTTTGCACTCGCAATCATACCCACCATTATAATTTATACATTCAGCATTTCCTGTGCAGCTCTTATCTAACAGGCATTCATTTACATCTAAACCAAAATTATATTGATAACTTTATAGCTTTGAGATTATTGTTATGAAAGAAAAATTATTTGTAATTTTATTTATATATATATATATATATATATATATATATATATATATATATATATATATATATATATATATATATATAATATGTCCTTATTTTAAGTATTTAGTGATGCAGCTTTAACATTACAAAACAAAAACATTTATATATTTTTTTAAAATACCCAGCATACGTAGAGTCTAAGTTGTGAAAAATAATATATCAATACAGTTTAAAATAGGCTAGAAATGTATGTTTACCAATAGAGTCCTAGTGGACATAAGATAATGATCTGCATTTTTGTGCAAAATTTTGCAGTAAATTGTTAAACACTTATTTGAAGTCTATCAAACAAAATCTTATAAAAAAGCGATAATATTATGGTTAATAAAGTCTCTTTAAATTTCAGTTAGATTATTTAACTTTATTAATTTATGTATTATACTTAGGACAAATAAATTAGATTTACAATTTTCCATTAATTGTTTGTAATTTCAATTGAACACCTATTTGAAATTGTTTTATTTTCAACAACTCAAAACATAAATTAGCATAAATTAATCTTTAGCTAATTTTTTTATACTTCACTGTGAACATTTATTATTTTTTGAATCAAAAGTGCAACTATTCTTTTTACTCGCAATATTAATAATAATATTAACCCTGGGTTTACAACCCTGGGGTTGGTAAATGAAAACCACAGTTCACAGTTGAAAATTTCTTACTAAATTTATTAAATTTTTATTAAAGTCTAATTTTTTACTTTGAGATAATATAATTTTATTGATTTAAAACTTAATTTTATAAAAATTCTTCAATAAATTTTGTAATAAAGGACCAAAAATTTATTTAAATAAATTTGTATTTATGCTCAAGTTGTAAAACAAACATTTCAAAGATGATATTTCAAAAATATTTCAAAGATGATATTTCATAAATTATTAATAATGTTGTCATTAGAAACAATAGGAGATTTAATTCATTTCAATCAAACACATTCAAATGCATTTATACAGATTTCACTCAACTTGAATTTAAAATTTATAATTCAAATGCTAAACACAATCATTTTAAACTACCTTCACATTGATCTGAGCTGTTCTTTATGTAGCCTGATGGACATCTACACTCATAACTTGATTTTAAATCAAAACATAACTGACCAGAAGGACACAAAGATACATTATTTGATAAAGCTTGATTGCAAATGTTTGTTGTGATTGCTAAAAAATATATAAACTGTATTTTACCACTATAATACTATGTTTCCTGTGCAATTATTTTAATATATAATATATATTGTATTTAACATTATTATAATTATTATATACTTTTTTTTATTTTTTTATTTATTTTTACTATTATTTTTATCAGAGTCTTTTATCAATAATCAGGCTTGGTTGGAAAGCGAGAGCGATCGCTCTCAAATACTGACCATGGAAAAAATATTTAGTTGCAAAAAACTGGCCAGGTTTTTTAGTCGTTTTGAGAACATTTAAGTTTATGTATGTAACAAAAAATATTTGTTTTATGGACATACATGGAAACATAATAAACTTGAATGTTCTCAAAACATCTTGGTGCGGAAGAATAAAAAGAATATTTGCGAACACTAAAAACCTGCCAAATCTACGAACAAACTAATTCTAATGGTTCAAAAAATACGCTGACTAAGCAAAATAAAGTTCTAGAGTATTCTGTTGATATGTTTTAGAAAATAAATTATTCACGGTTTGTAATGTTTTGAGATTTCTAGCATAAATTGTTTTAAGAATATATTATAAAAACGAGCTTTAATACTACGGCTCATTTTCGGAGCCACATCTGCAAAGCCTTATAATAGGGAGGGGGGGGAGGAAGGTCCAAAATTCTATATTTCTTGTTTAACCAGTTAAACTAAATTAATTTTTTGAGAAAAGTTCAAAAAACAATTCAGTTTTTGCTAAATTTTTATGGTTGACCTTCTACTTCTATTTTAAAAATTTAAAGATATAAAAAATAAGTCTTTGCAAAAGTTACTTTGCATATAAAGTTACACAACTTTTCTTTCAAGTTTATGCTATTCAAATTTTGATTAGATAAATTTGATTTTTAATCGTTGCGTTTTATAAAAAAAAGTTTTATCTGAAGTCTCTTAATAAAGAAAACGTTTTAAGTAATCAAAAAGACAGATTGCTTCAAAATATATTAATTTCCTTTTTTTATTATTTATTTTTAATCATTATTCAAGCTATCAAAAAGGCTATTCAAAATTTCATTTTTTTTTTCACTTTTCTTTAATGAAGTCAAGAATAAATCTTCTTTTAAAGTGCCAGTCAGTAGAAGTTCAGTTAAATTCTAAAGGTTTAACAACTCTAAAGATAAACAGGCTAAAGGAATACCGCTACGTAAAAAGCTTTATAAAAAAAGAACTGGGTGATCAAATTTTGAAATTTTCTACTTTACTCTAAAATGCAGTGAATAGCTAGTTAAAATAAATTCTTGAAGCAATTAATAAGTATACCTCAAAGAGGTTGAATGATTGTATCATTCTTGCTACAGTATTTTGGAAAAAGTTAGCCTCAGGACTTCAAAAAAGAGAAAAGTATTATGTGTTTGGTTGATGATGGAATATAATTAGTATTAACTTTTTTAATTAAGTTGTTGCAGTTGGAAAACTTTGGAAAAAACCCATTTAATTTCAACAGTAGATGTATACTTAACTATTTAAACCATATAAAAAATGAAGGTAGTTTAAAAATATTTTGGAAAAATATTGTCCAATTATTTGTCCAAAAAGTTGAAAATACGGAAAATAGTTGAAACCAGCTACAAAAATTAATGGATAACAATGGAAGAGCAGTATACTTTACATCAGGTGTGCAAGATGAGTTCTATTTTAGTTCGATTAAAGTTACAAGGCAGCCCATTTAGCTGTGAACTAGACATTATTGAAGTAGATAAAAATATGTTAAAATGAAAAAAAAATTTCGAAAAATGAGGTTCTTTATTTTAGGGATACAATGTAGGTCATTGTCGCGGAGGTCTATTCTGCTTAAATACATGATTGTTGATATAAAAATACAAAACTTTATCTTATGTCTACCAAAGAACACGCTTATAACCTAGATGTTCTACATGGAAAGTTCCCGCAGCAATCTCTATCACATATGATGACTTTTATAGTTATTTTCCATTTTCAATAGTAAACAACAAACTGTATGAATTATTTTCATATATAATGCTTAATTTTTTTTGTTACTTATAAATATATAAGGCATATTATTAAAATATAAGGCATATTATTGATAATTTAAACAGAAAAAGATTTCTACTTTTCTACTTTTCATATTTTTAATGATAATAATAATTTCATCTATTTTAATTTTGTCAATATATTCACTTTTATTAAAATCAAAGTAGAAGGCTAAATAATTAAAATGAAAAAAAAGTGATTATGATTTTCAGAATCAGCATGAAAAACTAATTAAGAAAAATTGGTTAAACTATTAAAAATCTAAAAAAAGATAATTATGGACCCCCCCCCTACTTATAATCTTTTAAACTATTATTATTTGTTTACAAAAATAAATGTTTTATAATATATATTTTTTTAATTGTCAAAATTTTGAAAGTTTATTATAAATTATAGATTTTATTAGTATATTCTTATTTTTTATTTATAAAGTATGTATTTTTTATGTAAATGTTATTTTGTGTACCTGCATTTTATTGTAATGTAATCTTTTAAAGCAATTTTAATGATTTACTTTGTAAACAAAGACTTACAAAAATAATTGTGTTTTCAATGAAGTTTTTAATAATCATCAAATCTAAAAAAACTAATTATGTAATAAACATATAAGAAGTTTCTGGTTAGTAAACACAAACATACAAAGTAACTCGCGGATGAACAAGCACCATGCCTGAGGTCACAACAGAACACAAATATATATAGCAAGTTATTAGATATAAAGAAAAGTTTTTAGATATTGGTTTACTAACTCTAATCATTTTCGCTTCAGTTTCTTAAAAATTCATTATACTTTTTTCTGCTTTAAATACTAATTAAAATTAAAAAACTCACTAAACATCATTAGCGATATTGTGAAGCAGTTTCGCTTCTTCGTCATAAAGTATTTTTAACCTTTTTAGTTGATTTCTATCTAGTTAATTTAATTTCTATAGTAATTCAATGATTTAATTATTTCATTTGTTCATCTTACCAAGAAAAATTATTTCAAATATGTTAAACTTTTCAAACTATGTGAAGCATAAAATAGTTATCAAAAAAATTAACTTTTTTCTTTATAATATAATCTAGCTTAGATAAAACTAAAACTTGCGTTAATTTTATTAGAATCTTATCAGACTTTTTAGGGCCGGAGCTATTTTTATTTTAGATTCTCTTTTATGTGTCAAAGCGTAAAAATAACTAAACAAAAAGGTCTTCTTGACTTTTTTGGAGCCCTAGCATTGCAGAGCCCGATGCTATAGCCCCCTCTAATCCTAACCCTCCTTAATCTAGCACTGGAAATAAGACAAGAGTACATAAATAAAAAATTATATAGACTCTGTTAAATAATAAACATTTGTTCCTTTTTTAAACAATCATAAGATGTTACTTTATATAAAAAACGTTGCTTAATTTTATAAAAAAATTAAGCAATGTTTTAAAATGTTTAATTAAAATGTTTCGAAAACATTCGTTCTAAACGTAATTTATTTTGCTTAAAATTTTTTTGTGTTAAAAGATATTTTATTTTCCTAATTTTTTTTTTTTTTTTTGTCTCAAATTGATCCAATTAATCCTTTGCACATTTTTTTTTTGCTTTTAGAAATGTTCTCAAAACAACTAAAAAATCTGGCCAGTTTTTTGCAACTAAATATTATATCTGTAGTCAGCAATCCAGAGCGATTGCTCCCGCTTCTCGACCAAGCCTGAATAATGCAAGCAATTAAAAAAAATATGTACAGATATTTTTTTTAGTACTGAAATTTTTTTTAGTGTCACTGATTAAACTTTAAATAACATCAATCATAAAAAAAAAAGTTAAAAAAAAAATACCTTTGCATTCACCACTAATGTTTTCATATCCATTGCGACAACCACATGTAAAACCAAGGCTATCAACACCTTTTTGGCAGATTTGATGAGGTTTTAAACAGCTTGGTGTTTTGCTTAGGCATTGATCAATTTCTAAAAAAAAAGTTGACAATAGTTTAAAAAATAATTATTAAATTTTTAGTCGCTTAAGTAAATCTGTTATTTGGTCATAATGTGTACATTAATCTCATTCATTCAACTTATAATGATTTTAGTTGTAAGGCTGAAAAAGAAGTTTTTTTAAACTCAATTTAAAACTATGTTCTTAATTAAATATCTGACGAACAGAAGACTGTCCTTATTTAAAAGGCTGAAAACTTAAAAATTGTGTTTTAACTATATCTATTCTAGAAAACAAATAATGTTATAAATTTGAAAGATATCAATATCAATCAATGAAGAAAATACAAAAAGGATATATAACTTATACCTTCACAACTTGAAATATAATTAATTAGATAACCAGGTTTACATGTACAACCAAAATATCCAGGACTGATAAATGTGCAATTCGAGCTTGCTGGACAATTTATTTGAGAGCATAAATTTACAGCTAAACCATTAATATGTAATATAAATTTTGGAAATATACACCAATATGTTTTAAAAAGATTATTAAACTCAAATATTTAACTTCAAAAAACTAAAAAAATTAAACAAAAAAGCTACCTAACTTTGTATGGACCTTGTAACCTAGGTTACAAAGTTAAGGTACATTACCTAAGCTACAACTTACCTTCACACTGAAATGAAGAGTTTAATGAAAATCCAACAGCACATTTACATATGAAGGAACCAATGGTATTTATACAAAAAGCATTAGGTCCGTTGCAAAAGTTTAAGCACTCGTTTACATCTGCAAACAATAAATTAATAAGAAAAATTATTTTATCATTATCATTTCTTTTTGGAAATAAATTTTAGCTTTTTGCTTAGTGAGAAAAATGAAATGAATAATAATGGAAACTTACCAATACAGGTATTAGTTCCATCTTTTGACAATTGCCAACCATTGGGACAAGAGCAATTATAAGGTATGCCAGTTGCAAATATATTTTGATTTTGACATGTTCCTCTGACTGTGTCACACAATGCTGTGCCCATCCTACACTCGTCCAAATCTAAAATAATTTAAAAAAATTTTTTAAATATTATTAATAAAAATAATTTTTAAAAAATGTGAAAATAAAAACAAGTGACAGCTTTATCAATATATTTAAAATTTTTATTAAAAAAAACAACAGGATATAGACATATATAAAGACATGATAAATAAATGAATATAGAGTCAGGGGTCCACTAGATTAAATGGAGTATTGCTTAGAACTTATTCTAATAATGAAATGTTTTTATTCTATCAATGTAAACATAATTATAATTGGATTAAGTTGTTTTTACTAAGACCTTAAAAATTCTTTAAAAGGGAATAAGCAACTGAATGAAAGTTAATAACAAAGAAGTTTTTATTCTAATTGTTAAAAAATGCAAATAAAGAGCATTAAAAATAGTAAATAAAAGTAAAAAGTATAAATATTCAAATAAACCTTGACATGAGTCAAATGTTGCATTATAAAAAGAGCCTGCAACACAGCGACACTCATATGATCCTATTCTATTGGTGCATGTAGAATTTGGAGATTTACATAATAAATTACATTCATTTATATCTAAAAATATTTTTAGAAAAAATTATTTTACATTAAAAAAAAAAAACTATTTTAAAACTATTTTCCATAAAAAAACTATTTTAAAATTATTTTTTATATAAAAAAAAAAAAAACATTTTAAATAATGCCTACCTTTACAACGATTGTTACTTAACGCATATCCACTTTTGCATGAGCAACTATAACTGCCTGGTACATTTGTGCACAGGCTATTTTCAAAACTACAAGCATTTGCTACTGCAGAACATTCATCAATATCTTAAAATGCAATTTCATTTTAAAAATAGTTTTTTAATATTTGTTTAAAATAATATTTATAATGTACATAATATTAAATACAAAAAATGCAATTATTCACCTTCACATGTTAAATAATCATCAAAAGTAATGAACCCATTTTGGCAAAAGCATTTTGCTGATGTGGAGTTGACCAAACTGCATATTTGATTTTTGTATTTAAAGCAAGATATAGAAGCACATAATGCTAAATATAACAAATAATTCTAAAATAATGCTACGATTTGCTCAACATTTGTTAATATAATTAATAAAAATGTTTTCTTTTTCTTTTCTATTAACAATATTGTTATGTTTATGTAGTCATTTAACATTTATAATAATGTTGAATTATCTTGAATTTCCATCTTCGCTTTGATTTTAATAACTAATACTTTTAAGGCTTAATTATATTTAGTTTAAAAATTTTAAGGCTTTTAAGGCTTAATTATATTTAGTTTTAAAAAATATAATTGCACTAAAGCCTTTTATTATTTCTTTAATCTTTTAATCAACTTAAAGTATAGAAATTAGAAAAAAAAACTTTAATGTTATTTATATAGCTAATTAAGCCCATTACACATGTTTACATTAATAAGAATAACAAAAAATTTAAAAGAAAAAGAAAACTAAAGATACATCGAAAAAAAATTTCAAAAAGTCAAGATTTTTATTTCAAAGTTTTTTGAATGCAATTTTAGTTTTAAAATATTATATGTTCATTTAAAACAAACTCAATAAGTATAGTAAAAATAAATGAGTATACTAAAAAAAGATGGTTACTTAATGGGCTTATGGGCATTTACGAGTTTTATATTTTTAATTATGTGTTTGTAGATCAGAATAGAAAAATAAGTTGCATGCATCTTTTGAGACTTTAGATTATCTGACAAAACCTAATGATATAATTACTAGTTCAATATATTGTGCCAAAAATGACACTACATATTGCCTAATATAAATACATTTGCATTATTTTTGATGTTACTAATCTTCAGTGATTTAAACTTTACCAAGATTAAATGTAACGATGAAATTATTACATATAATCTTGTTAAAAAATCTAAATCTAATATAAGAAAATTATTTAATAAGATTTATAATTTAATTATTATAAAAATAATTAAAAAATCCAAATCTAATTTAAAAAATGCGTATTTGGATCTAAACCAATTTAATGAGTTTTTTTTATTATTTTAGAGAACTACTTTTTTAAGCAAAATGGTTTAGGGGTCAACTTTTTAAAAACCTGCAAATGAAATAAATAATATTTGAGATTTAATAATTACAATTGCCGTGATGACAACAAAGTTTTAGACATAACTCATTTACTATTTGGAGCTAAAAAAACATGCTCGCCATGTGGTAAGCTGAAATTTCAATTTAGCAAACAAAACTAATTGAATGGTACACATCAATCATAAACATAAATTGAATAAATTATATAATCAATACATGAATATTTGAACATATCATTTGTAGATAAAACTATTTAAAAAATCTTTGGTTAAACTCTGAGTGTAAGCAAGCAAGAAAAAGAAAAAAAGTTAAATCAATAACAGCTTCAATTTTAAATATAAGAATACAAAAAAGTTTGTTAAAAAACAATTTAAATACGCAATTAATTTATGAATTATTGATTTGATATCCACTTAAAAACTCATAATTTTTAATAACATTTTTGTACTGAAAGTTTTGCTCACGTATATAAAAGCAAACAAAAAACTAATATTAAACCAATTAAAGATCAATAGAGCACAAACACTTAATAAAACTAGAATTGTACCGGATATTTTTGCTGGATATGCCGGAAATTGAACTTTTTTAAAGTTCTATAAGTGTTTATGAAGAAAAAGCAAATCTTGCCATTCTACATTAAATAGTGTTCAAGATTTAAAAAAAAAATAAAATCATAAATAAATCAAAATAAAACGCTTTATAAGAAAAATGTTTATGATGTATAAATACACACAGTAGATATGATACACAGATATACACGCTGTTAGTGTGGCTTGCTTTTTTTTTTTAGTTTTTCTCGAATAAAAAATAAGACATTTTAAAAATACTATGGACATTTTTAAATTACATTCTATAACAAACGAAAGGAAGGGAATTTTAAAAATCTTTTTAAATCTTTTAAAAACATGAAAACACCATTGAAATATTTTTGCACATATATCATGATATAGATAAAAATAAACTAATTATAAGCAAACAAAGTTTATGTGCTTTAATTAATTTATTGTTTGTAATAAGTAAGGTGCGTATGTGAACTTTCATATTCACTAAAAATATTAAAAAGAGAAATACAGACACATTCAATGTGGAATAGAGTTTCTGCGTTTATGAATAAAACAAACTATTTTATAAATCTCTTATAAAATCCAGACAAAAAGTTAAAAAAAAACGTTGCGCATGTTAACTTTTTTTTTTTGACTTTTTGTCTGGACTCGCGCTTAAAGCAATTAATTTAGAAAGTTATTTTATTTTACTAAATAATATTGAAGTGAGTAAGAAGTGATCTATGTGGAATAAATTAGTACAAAAATGATGGCTTTGGTAAAGACTGGTATTTTACTGGTCTGTAAAGCTAGGATATGCATATAAAAAGTATAGAAAAGGTCAGTGTGGAATAGACTTACAAAGACCCGTGTTTTTACGGTCATGAGAAACTCTTTATACTGATGGTCACGTTTCAAGCTGGTATATAGACAAGTATTAATATCCAATTGGCCATTTACGCAACAGTTACCGTAACAATTAATGTTTATAAAGGTTAATTATAATATAAATTTTTATTTTTCATTACTTTAAGGAAACAATAGTTTTTTATAGTTATAGTTTTTCTATATGTATATTTTTCTACAGCTCACTACAAAATATTGACCATTTTAGTATGATATCACAATGATGTTTTATGCAAAGCTAACTATACAAATATATTTGTGAGTGTATATATAGAAAGAGAAAAAGGGAGACACCAGACTTAAAGAGAGAGAATCTGTTATGTTTAAATATACTTAAAATCTGTAACTTTGATTCAAATATTTGTAGAAAAACTCACTACGCCTAAATAAAGGGTAATTAATTTTTTTTGTTATTGTTTTTTTTTTTAATATAACATAATTAACCAGACAAATAAACATTAAAGCAAAAAAGTTTACCATCAAACCAGATAATTCAAAATTATTTTAAAATACTTTCTCAAAAACAAATCCTAAATAATAAAACAAAAACTGAAAAAAACTTACAATCAGGATCAACTGTAAGCACAACAGGATAGTAAGGTGAAGTCAGAGTACTATTTTCAGTGCTAGCAATTATAAAGACTGAGAACAGCGTTCCATCATCCAGAACAAAACCAGAATCTATAATTAAAAAATATAATATATATATATATATATATATATATATATATATATATATATATATATATATATATATATATATATTATATATTTTTAATATCCTTATAGTGTAGTCGAAAGAGACTTTTATGGTAAAAAAAGTCTCTTTCGACTACAGTTTTTTTACCTCGTCTCTTAAGCTGCATTTTATTGTCGTCGAAATGTCAAAGCAATTAAATTAATGCGGAAGTACATTAAATTTTATTGTCTTTTAAAAAAACCGCAACAATAATGACTAGAAAGTTTTTTTTAATTAGTGGTGTTTTTGTTTTTGCTTTATTAAAAAACATTTTTAAAACATGAGTAAGTGTTGCTACATCAACTATCTTATAGCCTGCTGCTACAAGGGAGTGTTACTACATCGACTATCTTATAGCCTGACTCACAACGGAGTGCTGACTGACAAATAGCCTGACTCACAAAGGAGTGCTGCTACATCGACTGCCAAATAGCTTGATTTGCAACGGAGTGCTGCTACATTGACTGACAAATAGCCTGACTCGCAACAGAGTGCTGCTACATCGACTGAAGGTTTGGTTTGGCCAGACAGTCTATCATTTAAAAAAATTTTTATTTTTGAAGTTTTTCAACATTTTCTGGTCAGGCTTATTAACGCGCTCTTTAAAACAACAGTTTATGGGAAAAACTTTGTGACTATATATATATTTATATATATAAATATATATATATATATATTTATATATATATATATATATATATATATATATACATACATACATACATACATACATACATATATACATACATACATACATACATACATACATACATACATACATACATACATACATACATACATACATACATACATACATATATATATATATATATATATATATATATATATATATATATATATATATATATATATATATGTATATATATATATATATATATATATATATATATATATATATATATATATATATATATATATATATATACACTATACAGGGGTGGGACCGCAAAATGTGAACGTTTTTGTTTTATTATAACTATTTTCTCGTTAGATGTAGTTGAGTTTATTTGATAAAAAACGAAAGACAAAGTACTAATGAATATGTAAACAAAGTAAAATATAATATGTAAAAAAACAAAAATTGAACATTTAAAATAGTTCATATTTAACAGAAAATTAATTATTACAATCAGAAAAGTGTTCACATTTTGCGGTCCCACCCCTGTATATATATACACACTATATAATATAATGTAAATTATATTATAAAGTAAGATAAAATTTTGTATTATAAAAAGTGTGTTTGGATTGGAAAGCTCTTCAGCAAATATGATTATTAAAAAAAACTGTTTTTAATAATGATGTAATTGAAAAACACTGAAAAAAGGTAAAAAAAATTTAAAAACCATCTAAAATACAAGAATTTTTTGACATTTATTTAATAATATATGAAACTAACCATCTAAACTCCTTCGTTTGCGATTAAATTTTGAATTACCAGAATTAACCATAATAGAATTTCCATATTTAGAAGATAAAGTAATAGAAGATATTTGAGTAGCTGTAACTGTGGTGCTTGCAAAACGATACCAGCCATCTACATGATTATCAATATCCTCCTTTGTATATTGGCTTGGAGGTTTTGTAGGAATGGTAAAATCAGTTTGTTTTCGAATAATAACCTCAATATATCTATAAAAAAAAGAACTAAAATTTTCAAAATCATCATCATCCACATCATTATCAGGATAAAGAGGTTTTATAAATTTATTGAGGTGCTTTAAACAAAATAAAAAAAAATTATTTTTATATTATTTTTATTTTATTTTGTATTAGAAAATTGTAAATAAATAAAACTGTTTACAATTTTGTAATATAAAACTAAATTTTAATTTAGACTTAAAGATATCTCAACTGTTTATTTTAATACAATCGATTGAAAAGATTCAAGAGCAAGATGAAATTATTTTTTTTGGACCTTTTTCTCCCTATTCTACTCTATTGTTGATGTCAATATATATGTATGTTTATATATATAACTAGAATCACATTTTAATTCTTTCTGAGTATTAACAACAAAAAATGCTTCAAAAGTAACATTAAAAAAAAAATTTACGTAATAACTTGAACAGTTAAAAATGATTTAACCACAATTTGAAAAGACTGGGAAGTAACTGCAATTGCTGGAGGACCTAAAATAATAAATTTTTTAAATAGAGTAAAATGCAAAAACAAAAATTTTTGAAAACATATATTTATAAAAAAAGTTTAAAAAATAGTATTAAAATATAAAAAATAATATAAATTTAAATAAATTTGATAAATGTAAAATATTTCTAATATAAATAAATACTCTCATTAAGTATATTTATAAATTTAAAAATGTTACCAATGCAGCTATTATTTGTGCTACTAAGTATCCAATCTCCTTTACAATAACAAATAAAACTTCCATAGGTATTATTACAAGCACCATAAGGCCAGCTACATTTATTGTCAACAGCACACTCATCAATATCTAATAACAAACGATTTTTAATTAAAACCATTAAAATTACAATATGATTAAAATACTTGAGTTGATAAATTAAATTTAATGATTAACTCTAATCAATAACTGCAGTTAAAGTAACCATAGCTACCAAACATCTGTAATTTACACAACTGTTTAGTTATCAGAATCTAATTCAAAGTGATCTTTTTTACAAAATGTTTTTAAAAACAGATTTTTTTCAACATTTATTTAATATGTTAACTCACTGCTAGAAAGCCATGTTGATTACCATTTTATTTATTCACTTTTTTCATTCTTTTAATTTTTAACTGTATATTGATTTTATAAAAAAATATTTCATATGCAACATGACATCATATATTTACTAGTATCCTAATTAGTAACAATGTTTTGTTAGTTACATTTGAATTAATTAAAATATAAAACTGTCTTATAAAGACAACAATTATTGCTTAATTAGAGACAAAACAAAAATAATCACATGTTCATTAGCAAAACGCAATATATAAAAAAATTGTTACCAACGCATAGTCTTTTAATATTATCAAACAAAAAGCCATTATTGCAAGCGCAGTCAACTCTTCCATTTGATTTAATGCATTTACTGTTAGTCATATTACAAACACTACAATCATTTGGATCTAAATATCACATTTTAAACAGTTGAATTTAAACATTTATGTGAAGAACAAAAAAAGCTAAAAATAGAAATTTTTAAAAAAATTGTTTTTCTAACTTATATTACATAAAAATTACAAAAGGTATTTATTTTTTTAGATCTGAGTGCACATAATTATTTACTTTAAAACTGACTTATAAGCAAGCATAATTGTGACAAACTAATTCAAATAAGCCTTAGTTAAGCAAACATTCTACCACATTCTACTCACAACACTTTTAAATTATTGTCGACATTCTTGGCAAGCTGATTTTGCTGATTATATATAATCGAATATAATATATAAATATGCACAGTCAAAAACACAATAAAATTATTGAATTTGAAATTTTAATTAGAGTTTTCACAGAGGCTACAGTAAAGACTACAGGATATTGCACTCTGGCTAAATATTGATTCATGCATCAAAATGTTAATAACCTAATAATAATACTTTTTGAAAATTTCTATTGAAAATTTAACTTATTAAAATTGAACATAATAAAACAAATACTTTACTTGTTGTAGTTATTGATTGTGTAGTAGTAGGATGTTGTGTTGATGTAGTTGGATATTGTGTTGTTGTAGTAGATGAAGATGTAGTTGTTGTAGTAGATGGAGATGTAGTTGTTGTAACATCTTTAGTGATCACAATCGAACTGTATGATGATGTAAATGTAGTATTATCCAAAGCAACACCTCTCACAAATGTGGTATAGGCTGCTCCATTGTCAAGAGGAGGGTTAGCTGAAATAAAGAGAGTTATATTTTTTATTATAAGATCTATTAAAGTTTAAAATTAAGCACACATAATCATAAATTTAAAAAACTTAAAAATTTATAAAATAGAAATCATATAAACAAAAAAATATAAAAAAGTAAAATTAGGAGTGCTTCGAAAAACATTTATGAATACATGAACAATATGAATGATAATGAAACAATATGAATACATATAAGAATAAAAAAAATCACAAACAATTAAAATAACTGATAATTTATTTAGAAGCTAATGGATCTTTATTACTAGTTATGGTCAAAAGTTACAGTATATTAGCAAGTAAAAATATATTTAAGATTATCACTACTCCATTTTCCTTTCAATTGTTTTTAATGTTGATTATAATATCAAATACTTTTATATTTAACATTTTTTTAATGTCTTATTGACTCTTGTTGCTTTTTTTTTGTTTGTTTATTATATATTTTTACGTGTTTTAAATTTTTGAAGCTGCTAAAATAGAACCAACATATTGAATCCCTCTTGATTTCATTTTCACAATTTTTAATTTTGTATGATGAATGTTTATTACATTTAAACATTTATCATACTTTTCAAAGAATGCACAAACATAAAACAAAAAATATATATAAAAAATAAGGGTTTATATATAAAAAATGAGACAAAAGAAAAAAAAATTAAATAGTTAATAAAATAACTACCATTAGACCCTTCTCCAACAATAAAATTTGTAATCATGCTATTGTATGCATTAAGTAATCCTACTAAATATATATTATCTGTGTGATTATTAATTTCATTCCATGTGTATGAATTTGGTGTTCTTGTTGGAAGAATAGTCGATTTTAACTTTACCAATATGACATAATAAGTTCTAAAACAAATTATTTTAAATGATCAATAAATTTGAATAATTGTTTATTTTAGTTCCTATTTATCATCATTACCATAATAGGTTGTATTTATTTCTAACATAGATTTCGTGAATTTCTAAAATGGATTTCAGGAATTTCTAAAATGGATTTTACGAATTTAACTATTTTTACCAAACCCTTTATTTTTAAAAACTTTTGGTAAAAAGAACAAATCTTTTTGATAAGCAATTTTATTATAGATATTACAAAATTAAATAGAGATAATTCCCTAAATATTTAAACACAAATAGTTGTTTGAAGACACAACCACCACCATCACCATCACCACCACCACCACTATCATCATCATCATCATCATCATCATCATCATCATCATCATCATTATCATCATCATCATCATCATCATCATCATCATCATCATCATCATTATCATCATCATCATCATTATCATCATTATCATCATCATCATAATCATTATCATCATTGTCATCATCATCATCATCATCATCATCATCATCATCATCATCATCATCATCATCATCATCATCATCACCACCATCATAATCATTATCATCATCATCATCATTATTATTATCATCATCATCATCATTATCATCATCATCATTATCATCATCATCATTAACATCATCATCATCATCATCATCATCATCATCATCATCATCATCATCACCATCATCATCATAATCATTATCATCATTATCATCATCATCATTGTCATCATCATCATTAATCAAGAATGATGACAAAAGTTTCTTACCTATTAAAAGACAAAAGTTTTATTAGGTAAGAAACTTCACATTTTCCATATTTTTTTTAAGTAACAAATCTACTAAACTTGATAACAAAAAAATAATAAGATAAACAAACAAAAACTTACACAATGGGACTTTTGTTTAAAAAGTTTGGCATGACAATTGTAAATGATGTAGAAGTTACTGCAGAAGGAACTAAAAAAAAATTGCTAAAAATATATTATCAGTAAATTACTTTGAAGTTTCATTATATTAACAAAATATAATAGCTAATATTTTTAATAATTTTCAAAATAAAAATAAAATACCTCTATATATTTTATTTAAATTTAATTTAAATTTTTGTAATATAATTTTAGCTTTGTTTTACAATATAATTTCCATTATGCATAAATGTATGCATAAAAAAATTATTATTTAGGAATTATTATTCAGGAATCTTCTAAACATTTACATTAGAAATAAAAAACTAATTTCCATATTTTAAAAGTTAAAAAATTATATAAAAAAAGTTAAAATTTATAAATTTCATTTTAGCTCCAATAATTTGTAGTTTTAATTAAAAACGATGCAAAATGTAAGACTTAAATGTTATATAAAATACTTTTTTCTTATATTTTTTTCTTTTTGACAGCAAAAGGTTGTATTTAGAAAAAGGCTGTATTTATATAAACATTTAGCTTCTTTTTTTGTAAAACAAAAAAAAAAAAGCTAAATGCTTATATAAAAAAACAACAAAGTTATAATGTTTCACTAGTCCTGTTTGATTATCAAATGTGAAAATCACAATTAACTGTATTTACTTTGCAAGGTCTTGACTTTCATTCATTGGTTTTAAGGCTGCAGATTTATTTTACAAGTTGCAGAATTTAAATATAAATAATCAAAGGTTTGTCATTAAGATTAATCACAAGTTAATCACAAGTCACAAGGTTTGTCACAAGAATAACAAGTTAATCACAAGTCATAGCACCACTGCTTCTTAACTATATTATCAAAATTAACATAATATATTTGAAGAGGTTGTTTTTTCGCAATTTGTATATATTTTTTAGCAGTATTAGTGTAATTTAAATATTAGCATAGATTGCATAGTATTATTATTTAGCAAGATATTACAGTTATAAATCATATTATAATATAATAGGAAACATGTCAATGCTCATTGGAGAGTGTTTGACACAATACTCTTGGCAGCCATTGCAATTGAGGTAATAGCGAGAAAGAGTAGCAACACTTTTTTATATAAAAAAAGTCAACAATATCTATATCTAACTTATACAATATCTAACTTACGCAAGTATCTAACTTTCTTTAAATTATGTAATGTTAAAAACATATTAAAACATATATCAAGTTTTTCAGTTTTACTTTCACTTGAAAATTAAATTGCGGCAACATTGTGGCAACATCTCCTTAAGATTTGATCTGTAGCACTTAATTCTGTTTGATAAAGTCTTTAATATGTTATATACTTTTAAAATTTACGTTAGACAATAAGTCTGCGTAGCGGTGTGGTTAGCATGCAACGCTCTGAGGCAGGAGAGTCCAGGTTTGATTCCTACCATAAGCTTTTTTTTTTCTTTTTTAATTTAATCTTTTTTGATTTTTTTAAAATACAAAGTAAAACACTTTTGAAGAGAAAAATTTTTTTTGAAAGAAAGAAAGTTGTTTTGTTTTGCATTTTAAATGAAAAATATTAAAAAAAAAGGAAGCTGATGATTTGAAGTTTCCACGCAGCGACCTTCACTTTTTTTAAACAATAAGGGGGTTTAAAAAACATGTTTTTATTAAGAACATAATTCAAAATTCTAACTTTATATTTAAAATAAACTGTTTTATTAAAATTATAATTTTGAAAAGAATTAAAAAATACATAATATTAAGGTAATAAGGAAATTTAAAGTTTTACAGCTATTTTTCCACACCCCCGTTAATCATTCTGAAACAAGTGCGCAACAATGAAAGAATTTAGAAATTTTTTAGAATAGAATAGAAAGAATTTACTATCAAAATAGTATTATACTCTGTATAATATTAAAAGGACTCGGACGCTTTTAACTGATAAGGCACAAATCATTGTTGAAATGATGTATAAATGTACACGCTGTAGATATGATACACAGATATACACACTGTTAGTTTTTTGTACTTTTAAAACCACTATCCGAAATTTTTCTCCTATTTTACTTTTATAAATTTCTGAAATATCTTTGAGTCTTTTATTATCATTATCATAAATGAAATAATTATTGAACTTTTATTTGTAAATAGCATGTAATTTTTTAATTTTAATCTGTTCTAAAGTTTTGTAAGTTTAATTTTTTCATGTTTTACTTAATAAAACATGTTCTGTTTTATAGGTTATTGAAATTGTATCACAGGATGTTAATTTTATTGAAGCTAAAGTTGACCTTAATTAGTATTTTTGTAATTGGTTAATCTACCAATTGTTAATTGATGATGCAGATGTAGTTATATTTTTTGTAAATAAAACTTTTTTTCAAATACTTTGTTATGCTATTGTGTATAAATAAATTGATTAGCAGTTAATAAATGTGATGTACTTTTTCCTTTATTTAATTTGATTATTTTTTTAGATTAATCAGATGACGTGTTTGTTTAATATAGACATACAATCGAAAACTATTTAAAATTTTTATGTTTTGTTAATTTGTTAATAAATATGTAAATAAAAATATCTTTTTTTTACAAAGCTATTAGGCATTTTTTTAAAACCACTATCTGAAATGATTTGTATTTTATCTTTTATTCTATGTGAACAAAAGCCTATGCAAATAACCTGTAAACTTCAAGTTAAATAAATTATATCAAATTTTACAGATTTTACACTTTTACTTGAAAATTTGATTTTGGGCAATATCTCCTTAATATCTTCTTAATTTTGATTTATAGCTTTTATATGCTATAAATGTTTTATAAAGTTTAATAAATCTTTGGTTTATAAACAGTTTTAAAAGATGATAAACCATGCTAATTAGCAACCACTTTAAAACGGTTGAAGTGCTATTTGTGATGCTTAAAATCTTTTCGCTTATAAACTTAATTTTTTTTTTTAGTTTTTTCTTAATTTTCTAGAATAAAAAATTAAACATTTTAAAAATACTATGGATATTATATGCATAACATATATAAAAACATTATATACTATAACAAATGAAAGGAAGAGAATTTTTTAAAAATTTCTAAAAACATGAAAACACCATTGGAATTTTTTTGCACATATGTCATGATAGAGATAAAAATAAATTAATTATAAGCACATAAAGGTTATGTGCTTATAATTAATTAATTATTGTTTATGATAAACAACTTACATTGTTAATGTGCTTAAGTAATTAGCTTGCGTGTTTAACATGCATTAAAGAGACAACTTTCTTTTTTATAGAAAAAAGATTTTATATGCCAACTTTAACTTTCTTCAAAATTAACAGGGCAAGAGACCTAATAAGCTGCGGATGGTCTGAAAAAAGAAATTAATAAAAACTTAATATAGAAAAAAATAATTAAGCTCCTTCCTGCTTTTTTTTGTAGAAGTTATAAAGTATTAAACATAAATCATTAACTCAAAACAAATTTTTTTATATTATGCTCTTTTTTAAAACTTATTGAAATAAAGCGAAATTATTAAAATTATTGGAGTGGAATAGACTTATTTCAAGCGGGTATTCTAAAAATTATTTAGACAGCTACTTATTATCTAATTAATTGATAAAAAGCGATTCTTGCAACAGCTACCGAAATGTTTGAAGATTTTTAAAGTTAAACTTTTTTTTCAAAGCTTTAAAAAGTAAACAATAACTATAGTTTTTGTATATGGATATAGTTATTTTTCTGCCGCTAACTAAAAAATATTGAAGTAAGGAATAAGTATAGAAAAGGTCGGTGTGAAATAGATTTACCAAGACCCGTATTTTACGGGTCCGGACAGCTAGTATGAAACAATCATCATTGCATATTACTTTTGGATTCTCTGAGCTAATGAAGTTTGAACAAATCCATCATGTCTCAGATAGTTCTAACTAACTTGTTTCTCAGGGCAAAAATTTTTTTAGTCAAATTTTTTGTTTCAGATTTATATGGTAGAAATAAAATTTAAAAAAGGAAGTAACATTTTTAATTATAATTACTGTGGTGGTAATTATAACAATTGTTGTTACACATTCTCAAAAAATTAATTTTCAAAATTACATTTTAAATTAAAAAGATTAAATAATAAAAAATTATACCTTGCAGACAATTTGTACTATCAGAATGCAAAATGTATCCAGCTGGACATGAGCATACTGCATTGCCTGACACCGCATTGCAATAATATTCACAGTATTTAACAGCACACGGATCTTTAATTTAGTTAAAATTTAAATATATTGACAATGCTAAACTTATTAACAACAATAAAAATTTACAACTATAATTAAGATAACAAAAAAAAATCTCTTATGATTTATGCTAAGCTCTGTTATGGAAAATCATCATTACCTTTCAATATTATAAAAAAGACTAACCTTTAAAATAGAAAAGAGTAGAAAAATGCAACATAAGCCTACCTTGAAAACATGTTATGTTATCTGAACTCAAGCTATATCCAGTTGGGCACAAGCATACTGCATTGCCTGATACCACATTACATTGATATTGACAATTTTTAATCAAGCAAGTATTTTCTTAAAAAAAAAAACTCCATTATAGCACGGTTTAAATTTTTTTACTTATATGATGCTATAAGTCTCATAAAGTAACAAATTCAGAAAATTTATAAATTTAACTGCAGTTTTATGAGCCTTTTAAATAAAAATGATAAATATGTTCATCTTAATGATCAAAAAAGGAAGAAAAAAAAAATACAAAAAATCTATATCAAACATTTTGTTTGAGAAGTGCATCAAGTGCTAGTGGCTTTTGTTTGAGTGGTTTTTATTGCTACTTTGAATGAGTTTGAGTGGTTTTGATTACTACTTTGAGTGGCTTTAAAGCAACACAAAGGTTATTACTATCATTAGCAAGTTATTTTTATCAGTACATTATCAAGTTTATCTTTAGAGAAAAACTAATCAACGAGACTTAAAAGACCTCAAATACGTACAGTAGAATCCTGTTAACTCAGACTCTGAATAAGTATATATACTTTTTCTGACATAGCGATTGTCCAAATTAAGCAAAGCTTTTGGTATGTATAGAGAATTCAAGGGGAATTGAAAACTTGTCTAACTTAGTAAAAGTCCGACTTATCCAGGGTTCAAGATAATGGGATTCTACTGCATAATCAATGTAGATTAAGCTGAAATCTTGAATCAAATCTGCTGTATTCTTTTAAGTGCTTATGCTCTGGTTGATTTTCTTGAAAGTACAAAGTCAGCAAACTACAGTAAACTAAAGAATCAGCTTGTTCAATCATACAACATTATGGACTATATACATAAATTGCATAAAATTTTAATAGTATGTATTTAAAACAGGAAATTTTATTGTACAGTATTATTATATTTTTTATTTGATGAACATAAGATAGATGACCATTGTCATCCATCAATATGTTTAAAAGACATATTAGTGATTGTTTTAAAAACGATCATAAAAATAGTTTACCTTCACATTGA